GAAGGCTACTGGTGTCTGGTAGCTAGAGGTTAGTTATGGAAGTACCTAAATATACTGCAATACATAGTACAGAATTTATTGGCCCCAAATTTGAAAAATGCAGAGGGTAACAACCCCTACTTTATACACAGCTTTATATTTCATCATTTTCTGTGTAAGTACCATGTGCTAACTGATTGCACCACTGGAGCGCACATTTCAATATCTAAGTGTTCACCAAGTATCTGTAGATGATTCCAACACACAGAAGAGTTCTGAACTTATTTCTGTGACTTCTCCCTCTTCATATATTTCAGATTCTACATAATGTAATCATCATATATTTAGTAATTATTCTGATACTCAGTTTTTGCATAAATGCCACCATTTTTGTTCACAGCCTATTTCTTCAAATTAGGGTATAAACGTAAATCCATATATTGTGTTTGGTAGATATGTCCTTGAATGATTGATTAGATGTTTGCTTAAATTCAGGCTTAATATTTTTGGTGAAATTAATTTATAGGTATTATTACATTCTACCAGGAGCATATAATGTCTACTGGATTTGTTGTTTTTGTTATTGTTTTAGCAGCTATTGTTGATCAGTGTCCACCATCATTAACTCATTAACAGATGAAATAGGGTGATGCACTAATTAAACCACTCCTTCTTCATTTATTAGCTGCAGTTTCCTATGAAGAGAAATGTCCCCTCATCAAGTATTGGTTCCCTTTTGATACAGTTCATATAGAAAAGGCAAGACAAATGCTTGATTTTTTTTTCTATTTTTTTTAAATACAATCTCAGAACAATATGTTGGCTGTCTTCCGTGGAAACCAATGAGTTTTGTTTTAGTAAAGAATCATTATTGACTTATAGACTAAGATGTATTTGATTTTTTTTTTTTTTTCTGGTACCGGGAATCTAGCTCACGACCTCGCGCTTGCAAGGCAGACGCTGTGCCGCTGAGCTAAATCCCCAGCCCAAGATGTATTTGATATGTTTCAGTGTTTTACTCTATTATAGTTATCAGTTTTTGATCCTCAAATTATCCCATCTTTGGTGAGCAAGAGCCTTTAGAAGGGGATGCTGTCTCTCTAGATGTTGGAGTGAAGAGATTTGAGGGAGAGGTTGACTTCTAGGTTTCTCTAACCTGAATTCTTTGGTATCCCACACTGAGGGCTGTCTTGCATCTCTTCCACTTGAGGTTGGCACGTATTTGCTTCTTCTCTTACCCAACCCTTTTCTTTTGTGCATACATTAGACTTGGTTCCTTTGCTGATGTGTTTATATTTGATTTCTATATGTATGCAGATCCTCCGTAATTCTTTTTTTTAGGTAGAGTGTTCTATTGTTTCCCAAGGTTATTGCCTAGTGGGGCTTTAAAACAATATCTGGGGGAAAATGGCCAAAAATTTAGGGAATCTGGTCTCTTTGAGATATTTTGAAAATGCAGGTCAAATTATGCCACTGCTATGATTGAAGCTTTTAGTGGTGTACACCTGGTACCATACCCAAGGCCAAAATCCTTGAGGCATCTCATTATCCTCCGGATCCTGCTTAAATTTGCTTCATGCTTGGCCCCATTGCCCCTGCTGAATGTCAGCCACTTTTTCACTTCCCTAAAACTATCACCATTTCTCCAGTTTGCTGCTTTATGCTCTTTTTGTTCTTTCTGCCTGATCGCCTGGAGTGCACTCTTTTCTCTTTCACCTTTGTTTCTTTAACTTCTATGCCTTTTTTAGGCCTCAATTAGATGCTATTTTCTTCATGCTTGCTGTTTACAGGATGCCCGTGTTTCCTGATTTCTCTGGGACAGTTCTAGATGATGTCTGCTGAAGATGAATTAGCATTTGTTAAATAGCATCTTTTCTGGCACCTTCTCACGCTCAAAGGTGACTCAGTTTGGATGATACATTATAGAATCACTCTTAAAATCTGCAATCCAGCACTGTATAATGTTCATATTTAATCGCCTTCCATGGCACTTTGTAATTGTACCTAATATTTTCATACTATAATTTCCCATTTACTTGTTTGTTTTGGAAAAAAATGACATCTATCCAACATTTAGATCTGAAGCCTTAAGTCCCAACACAGCTGCAGTCAAACACAAAAATTTAAAGAGGTAATTGAGGCTAAGTGAGATCATGCAAGAAAAGGCACCAGGGATGCATGTTCACACAGAAAGGGCTATGAGAAGACAAAGTACCAGGGTGGACATCTGTAAGCCAAGGAATGAAGCCTAAGGAGAAACTAAATCCACAGATATCTCACTATTGGACTTTCAGCCTCCAAAACTGTGAAAAAAATATACTTCTGCTGCTTAAGCCAACTATTCTGTGGTATTTTGTTATGGCAGTTTATTATGGCTTGAGTTTATAATATCCCCTCAAAGCTATATATTGGCAGCTTGGTAACTGGTTGATGGCTTTTGGGAATTGATTAGACCATGAGTGCTCTAATCTCATGGATTAATTCATTGATGAGTTCATAGCTCCATGGATTTACTTGGAAGTGGGGTCTAACTGGATGAAGCAGATCTCTGGTGGTATGGCTTTGAGTTACAATTTCCTGGCCCTTTCCTTGTTCTCTCTCTCTGTCTCTTTCTCTGTCTCTTTCTCTCTATCCCTCTCTGCTTCCTGTCTACCATAAGGGGAGCAGCTTGGTTCCACTAAGCCTTCTCCACAGACTCCGAAACAATGGAACTGAGGGACCATGGACCTAACACTCCACAACTATGAGCCAAACTAAATCCTTCTTCCACCTTTTTAGGTATTTTGTTGTAGGTATAAAAATCTGAGTAACACACAAGTCTAGAAAACTAGTACAGTCTTCTTTGTTAGACTGACTTTTTAATTTTACATCCCTACTCCAAATTGTAGTGCTAGGTACATAGTGAACACTAAATCAGCATTAAGCAAAAGAAACAGAATCACTGGGAGTGATAATTAAAAGCTAAGATGACACTATGAATATGCCACAACATCTCAAGAATATTTGTTAAATATAGTAAATAAATAAAGGACACTGAAACTAGTGACCTCATCAGCATTGTGATTCTTCCCCAGAGTAGAAAGTTCTCTTCAGACCTTTGTAACCTTGACTATCTTGAGGGATTTCATGTGTCAGTCTGAGCCTGCAGACTTTGAGGACATTAAAAGTTGTTTTATGAGATCATTTTTTTTTTTTTTTTTTTTTTGTTTTTCTCCGGTACCGGGAACCAAACTCACGACCTTGCACTTGCCAGGCAGGCGCTTTGCCGGTGAGCTAAACCCCCAGCCCCTATGAGATCATTATTATTACTTACATAATAGGGACAAATTAAACATATTAGACAATATTATAAAAAGAAGCTTGAATCATGAGAACTTGGTATCAGACAGAGGTATAATGTAGCCAAAGTGTAAAAGACTGGTACAGGAAAGCATGAAGAAGTGATTCTTATTATTTCATACTCACCCTCAATTTAGTGGAATTTTACAAATAAAAGAGAAAAACTAATCTTTCTTTATCCATCTGTCTTAGTTACTTTTCTCATTGCTGAGACAAAAGACCCAACACCCACAAGTTAACAAAGGAAAGATTTACTTAGTTCACAATTTGTAGAGGTTTCAGTCCATAACTGGCTGGATCCAAGGCAAAGAGGCATGAGACAGGCATTGTAGAGGAGAAACAGTTCATGGTAGGCAGAAGAGGTAGCAAAGCAACAAGGGAAGACCACAGCTGTTTCTCTCCCTTATATCTTTTCCAGGCTACTTAGGGTGGGTAGCACTCACACCCTTAATCCTAGTGGCCTTGTTCCTAGCATTGCACCATGAATTGGTTCAAGTGTCACGGATTCTAGATCCAGTCACCTCTGCGAAAGCACCACCAGACCACCTGAGGCTTTGGGGAGACATGCAGACACAAGCCATAACATTATCCTAGGTTCTTCAGCTATGGCCCTATAAATTAGACTGTCCAAAGATAGATTAACAAGACAAAAGCAAATAGAAGTTTATTAGTATATGCATCGTGCTTGCACATCGAAGTAGTCTGAGATGAATAACTCATAGGGGTGATTAAAATTTAGGCATATGTTCTATCGTAGGCTAAAGCAAAAAGGTTTCGTGCTTCTGGGCTGGGGAGAGAAGTTATGAGAAGGTGATCAGAAACATTATGGCCTGTCTGGGTTGTTTAGTAAGATTTGCTATGCAGATTTAAGTCAGCATCATACTCGTAAACAAAAATTTTTAAGAATCCTCTTCATACAGTTCTAAGGGAGGGAAACATCTATATGAATGGAAATTTTCTTTATGAAAGAAATTTTCCTTTACAAAAGGGAAACTCATGCTTTCCTGCTTCTGTTGGTTTTCAATGATTTAGCTCAAAACAAGCCATATGATAAGGAGGTATATTTTTGGGTAGTACATTTTCGTAACCCTCACAGATTACCTTGTTGAGGAATTATTTCGTTTCCTAGATTTTATTTTTTCTCTTCCATTTACAGACCTCATTTTTTTTTTATTCATTGAATATGGGCTGGAGTAGGAGTAGTGGGAGTTTCTGAAACACGTAATAGAGTGTGAGATTGAAACATTTTGCTCTTAAATTTTCCAGGGGCCAGCAGTTTGCTGTGGAGCAACAACAACAAAAAGAATACCACTACTGATGATTACTTATATTAAAGGGCCATATATGTTTCAATGCATTAATTCACAAAATTGAATTATTGCTGGAATATCTAAACAATACTTTGTAACCAGCGCCTATGGTTTATAGATGACAATAATTTGCACGAACAGTATCCGGTCCCTTTCTCTCTGGGACACTTAAAATGGCTCTGTTACTACACAAAGATCCCTGTGATGCAGTCAGGACACAAGCAGGAACCACCACAAGAATAGGAAACAGAATGTTGGGCTCCTCTTTGCTACTCATTAAAAGCATGATTTGTATTTTTCTCTTGGACAGTCAGGGACTTAATGACTCTTCACCTGGGCATACAGATGTCCAGTAAGTAACTAAACCCAGACCAAAGTTTTACCTTCATTTTGTATCCAACATTACTGTGAACCTTGCATTGAATCTTTTCTCAGCTCTGCACAGAGGTATGCTATCATTTCAAGATGATTTCTTACATGATGCCGGCCCCCTTCAAGACTGAGGACACCAAGATAAGAGGTGGGCTTCTTTTTTTGTTGTTTTTAAACAGGGTCTCCCTCTGTAGTTCCAACTTGCCTTGAACTCCTGGTGATCTTCCTGCCTCTGCCTCCCTGCTTCTGGGATTCCAGGTGTGCACTTCCACACCCAAGATAAGTGGTTTATAAGGACAATCATCAATGCCCAGAAGCCTCCAACCATTTCCTAAACCTGTGATCACCTGAATTCCAGGAAAGGCAGAGCACCACATGAATGAGACCACCACAGAGAGGATGCTTTCCTGGAAACAAAACCAGTTCTCAGCCATAAAGATTCTAGAACCATGACACCCAAACTGAGATGATGGTCACCTCAACCCCAGTCAACCAGCTAACCCTTGAAAGCTGGCCTCCCGTCTTTGTAGTGGGGCCATCTGGATCCCCATAACAGTGTGCACCATTTCAACCTCAGAAGCTAGAGGCTTTTTCTAACTTTCCTCTAACTTTCCAATTAGAACTTTTTTCCTGTAAGTTTGTGCTTTAGTTTTAATTTCCTTTTCTGCTAAAGCAAGATCCCATGATAGCTGGTGATACATGAAGGGGAGGGTTTTGCTTTTCTATTTTGGTTATGGATGGTCATGCATTCTTAGGATCTTCCATTTGGCCACTGTTGAAAAGAAGTATGTGTTCGGGTTTAACCAAACAACTCTTTGAAGGCAAACATATCTGCAACTCTGGCAAAACTGCTTAACATTGTTGGGGTATAGAAATATTCTATTTATCCAATTACATCTCAGGCACCATTTTAAAAAAGTGTGCATAATATAGTTTGCTAAAATTTCTCTGTTAGTTTGTTTTGACTATGCACAATGTTTATTTTTGATCTTTCCAGCTGCTTCATTAGAATTAAAGAGAGAGAAAATGGCCCCATTACCGCCCTGTCTTGATCTAGCAAGGTAAAAGTCACAAACCCAGAAATGTATTTATTTATTTATTTATTTTTATTTTAAAGAGAGTAGTAAATGAGAAACAAACAAA